TAGAACAATCAGGAAGGGGGATATGACTATAGACAAATTATATAGAAAATTATTACGAATAGGTAGACGGGCAAACTATAGACCTGAAGAATTACATAGAAAATTTTTGGATGCTCTTTCACTCCCATGGCTTGAAAAAGCTGAGGATATCGGTGAGCATTTGCCATTAAATGAATTGGCTAAAAAGCTATATGAGATAGAGTTACGCCGAATAGCTAGACATAAAAGAGATAAAATACCCGATCTATTAGTATCTCAATATATGAACCTTCACCCGTTTCGGCTTCTCAACAGCAAGGAATGGCAGATTTACAAAAAATATTTCAGGATGCATTTGCACAGCAAAAAAGTGAAAACCAGTTATTAGAAAAGAAACTTACCGAATTGCAATCACAAATAGCCCAGCAATCAGTTGCTCAAAAAGTACAGGCACTGGCTCCACAAACTGTCGAACCAGTTAGACAGCCAAGAGGGCTCCCATTTTCACTAAATACAGAAGAAGGCATGAAAGATTATTACATAACAAAATTCTTAAAAGATATAGGTATCTTTAGCCAAAAAGAATTAAACTCAGATTATCCTATAAAGCCTTTTCAAAGACCTCGTCCACAGCAAAGCAATGTCTCTACTAGGATTGATAAATTGGAAGAAGGGATTAATGAAACTCGGGATACTGTAAACCAGTTAGCCAATCAATTGCAGAGAAAGGCATATATACGAAAATGTAATATTTGCGGAGAGATGGGCCATAGCAAAGGTAGTTGTCCCAATAGACAGATAGCACGATCTAATTTCAATCAGTCTACTTATTTTAAGCCTCTTACACCTATAAATTTCCAAAACACACCTCCAGGTTTGGATAATGAAGAAGATGGTTATAATGAAGAAAATAATAGATGGACTGGGTATGATTCATCAGTAAAAAAAAACAGATACTAACAGAATCCAGTCAGCCCGAAACATATGATGAGCTATTGCCAAAACTTTCATCGGCAATGCGTAAAATGTACTTGTCCTGAAAGGCTCAGGAAAAGGAATTAGATGAGTAGTTTTCTTCTCTACAATATCTGAATGTAAATATAAATAATTTAGCGATTTCTGAATCTTTTTTAGATCCGGGAAGTGAATTTGGTAGTATAAATGACCCGGCAATTAAGATGCTTGGATGGAAGGCTGATAAGCCATCTGATTTTGCTATAAAGAGCAATTCTAGGCATATCACCGATTCATTAAGATGGTACACAGATGTGCTAGTTACTATGAAGGACAAAGAGGGTAAGACAGTCACAGTCATTGGAAATTTTGTACATATAGATAATGGCGAACCTGAACCAATGCTATTTTTAGATATGTCAAATATTTGAAAGCTCCAAGGTGTTTCCGAGCCAAATAAAAACCAGTTCCGCATAAAGTTACATAGGAAGACCTATGTTATTCCAACATATAGCAAGGCCCCAGTAGCTAAAAATCTGCCAAAAGAGGAGCAGGAAGCATCATCTCAGGTTTCTGCTAATTCTTCTAGTCCAACTAGTGAGGACTTAAAAAAAAATATGAAAATCTTGAAAAGCACCTCTTGAAAACTGAGAAATGGCTTGACTTGGCATTAAGGACTGGAAAGTTTTTTGCTGATACATGTAAATCTTTATGTAAAAAAGATATCAAAAGTATCAACTGAGCTTTTAAGCTTTTTACCGCGATTGACTAAGTTTTCAAGAAGAGATTCTAACCTTTTTTCTTGGAATACATCTGGCAAATTATTAGAGAGCATGTCATCTTTGTTCTCATTTTTTTTTTGTCTTATTTCTAATTCAAGAAAGACCTTCTTTTTTTGACCATTCTTTTTTGGAATCTTCATAGTCGGAGTGGACACAGATAATGGTACTGGTGGTACCACTTCAAGATTCTGTTTTGACTTATCAGTTTTGAAATTTTCATCCAAAACAGGCTGAGATAGAATGGCCCTTTGCTGGAGGCGTTCTTTATTATCCCATATTTTATAAACATATTTAGATCCAATATGGAATTTATCAGCCATTTTTTTTGATGCATTGGGTATCCTACCTTGGATTTTTTAATTTCTTTGATAGCATTATCCGATAATAGGGTTGCCTTAGCATCACAATATGTATCATGGATACGGGCTACTATCTTCACTAGATTATTATACTAAAAAAAAAATATTAATGCTTTTTAATAAAATATCAATGCATATCAATGCGTGCGTATCAATACTCTTCAATAAGCATTAATATTTTTCAGTATGTATTGATACTTTTCAATATATATTGATATATTTCAATGCCCACCAACGCATATTAATAAGCTTCAATGCTCATCAATATAGTAATATCTATAAAAAATATCTTGCTTCCAATGCCAAAAATTCTAGCGGTATCTATCTAATTTTTTTTTACCTAAAGAAAAAAAAAATACCAATAAAATGTATCAGATCCATACTTTAAAAGATCTGGATAATGGTAATAAACTTGGAGATGCTCCAGCTAATTATTATCCTCCCAGCTGAACAGAACTTGAAGAGCAACTTTCTTGTGCAAAAAAAGATCGTGAAGTTGCTATATATTGGGAAAATCAGTTTGCAGATAATTATGATGTCTTAGATAGAGAAAAAAAACATATACAGGATTCTCTAAATCAATTAAAAAAAGAAAATAAGCGTATACAAGATGACCTTGATAAATCCAAAAAAGAAAATAAGCACATACGGGATGATCTTGATAAATTCAAAAAAGATAATGAGAAGCTCTCTGATCATGTTTACCAGCTTGGAGAAAAAACAATGCGGTTACAATCAGAAATAGATAACTCCAAGCTTGGGGATGAAATAAGACATTTATATTTAGAGATAAATGACCTTAAGCTTCAGATCACTCGCAAGGATATTTCTTTTGCAGATACTGAAAGCAAATTTTCTATAAAATCGGAAAAGATGCAAGCCATCCTATCCAAGATGGAGGAAGAGATACAGGCTCTCCAATCAAGAGTAAAAGAATTGGAGCAAGATCTTTCTTTAGCACAGAATAAATTATCAGAAATGGAATCTCTTGAGTGCGAATTCAAACAAAAAAAGATATTACTATCTGCTGAAAACACTACCCTAAATTATAAAAAAATGGAGTTAGAAGAAACTCTGTTTAAAGAAAGAAATAAATTAATGCAGATAAATGATAATTTAGCTTTAGCACAAAAGGCATTATTAGAGAAAATTTTTCTTCTTCAAGAAGCTAATGCTCATTTAGCAGAGCAGATTTCGAAAGTATCCAGTGAGTCGAAGTATAATGAAGTGATTGGAGGTGTTAGCAGACTAGAAAAGATAACGGCATCACTAATCCTGAAACAACCTTACTATTACCCAATTCCTTCTTTCAGCAGAATGCGGTCTTTATCATAATAATGATATTACTAATTATATACTTTCTATAGCGCATATCCTCTTATATATATTTTTTTATTTCACTCCTCAATAAAGAAAAAAATATTCCAAATTATAAAATACTCTTAGATAGAAATCAGAGTTATGGATTCCCAATCTGTCATACAAAAGAACCAAAAAAAAGAACTACCACCTATAAAACTCTACCTTATGGATATGGATGAGGCCACAAAGCACGAATCATCCCGAAATGTTGGATATCCAGCGATGTCATGGTTTTTTAGCATAATAGTTAGTGGAAGAAGTGGTACAAGTAAGACCAATTTACTAGCAAACCTTGTTCTTGAAGATAAATGTGAGCATGTATATAAAAGACAAAAAGGAGGATCCAGATATATTATATGCAATAATTTGATAGTTTGCAGTTACTATCCTGATAAGCCAAAATGGGCATTCGTTAGATATATGTATGGAATAATAGCAAGTAATCCCAAAGTGCCCTATTACGAGAATATTGGATTCAGCTACATATCACCAGAACAAATTCCTAGTGTGAAATCATTTTCACCTGAGAGAAGCACCGTAATCATTTTTGAGGATGTATGTGTTGCTCCCGAGTCTATCCAAAATCGAATTATTCCATTTTTTACACATGGGCGATATCGAAATATTTCTCTATGCTATGTTACTCAGAAATATCATCATATACTAATTATTATTCATGAGAATATCTCCCTTCTAGTAATATATAATGGGAAAGCAGTTATCAAGACGTATTCAAGATAGCTGGCCGATATACTGATAATGTAAAGGGTGCATCCATGGTTATTAATAGCTACCCCCATAAAGGTGAATTTGTTGTATTTGATCTCAGTAGGCCAGAGGATGATTCTCTAGCAATTCGGCTAAGATTCGATACACCATTGAACCTGCAGAAGGAAATAGAGGCAAGGCAGAGGCGCAAGGAAAAAAGTGCCCCAGCTAATGAATAGAATTAGTCAAATTGTAAATCCCCTATTTTCTCATAAATTTTTTTTTCTCATAAATTCGAAAAAAATATATTCAGATTTCTATTATATCTGGCTTCAAGCGATGGAATCGCGAGAAGGCGGAGATAAAATTTCACAAAACTCTTCACTCCGAAAAAATTTATTTTTGAGGAGAGATGATTTGTTTGTTCACAAACTTCCAAAGCGCTTAATTATATCTTTTTTCTCGCAAGCTCGAAAAAAGATCTGAGTTACTGATATATCTGGCTTCGAGTGATTTAATCACGAGAAGGCGAGATTTTTATTTTACATCGATGGTAGACAACTATAAAAAAATAAATTATTATAATAAATACGTAATATCTATTTTGATATTGAATTCATGCTCCGGAAAATTCAGCGCACATACTCACAATTATTGTTCGAATCTGAGAAATCTATGTTAATTTCTTCTCCTAGGATATAAAGATATTTAGTTTCGAAATAGTTGATTTTTAGTGAATCACATGGATATGATTTGCCATGCATTTTATATATATAACGCGCATACTCTAATCTTCTAACAATTCTTTCATTATCAGATTCATTAATATAGTAATATTCAGGATTCAATAGCCACTTTAACATATAAGTTCATCCTGAATATTCAACAATTCTATAGCCTTGCCAATGTAATACTATAAAAGCAATTATATATGATACAAGACCTAATTGTTCACATAGCTAATCTTTCTTTTTATCTACCTTAGTCGATGTATAATAACTAGGAGCTTTTTTAATATGAATATTTATATCTAAAAACTTCTTCTCATTAGGGGTGTCATCATTCCTTACCATATTCCAAACCCGTTTCGCCCATGTTTCGGGTTTCAACTTGAAAGCTCTTCAAGCCCGTTGGATAATTTTTGCACTATTAAATAAGAAATAAGCAATTTTCTCCCTAAATTCATTCTCTGTATTATATACACGATAACCACGCTGTGGATATATAGAATAATTCATAAAAATCTCATCAACTTCATCAGAACTAAACGATGACATGTTTCTTCCTCCTTTTTTCTGAATAGGATTAAAATGTGCAAAATGCCTTTTAGCTGTTTTAGCAATGCATTTATTCAGGTGATGATTGGCACATTCGATAGTATTTTCACAGATAAATACCAAGGTGTCGCATACAGTGCAATAAATATAAAATGAACGCTTCTTAACTATAAATCTCCCATCTCTAGATCTTTTAGTCAAATAGATAAATCCATTCTTGGAGAAGTATTTTGGGTTATTTTCTAGAAGTATCCTAAATGGATAACGAATACGCGAACACTACATTTCAGGCGTTTTATTACTATACCTATATTGCAGATTGATTAATGCCTGTGATACGGCAGAATTCAAAACATTATAGTAGTTAGTTTTAACCATTTTGCAGGTATAGTGATAATACGTATACATAGCAATTTTACTGATTTTATCGATTTATAGTAATTTTAATGACTTATAACGGTTTGTAACAAGTATATAATAATAAAATATCAGATTTATTTTTATTCGAAACTGGAAGATACGTTGTGTATACATATTTACAAAGAAGAGAAGGGAGCATATACTTCATAAATTTCATATTGACACTTTTCTACCTGTGTCGGAATTAGATAAAAAAATATTAATATAAAAAATATATCACTCTAATATAGCATTAGGAAAACGGTGGACAACTACCTATGCCTATATCAAAAATTAATTTTATTTACGTTTATATATATATTTTTTTTCTGGTGGATACATTCAATCACTCTCTGCGGTGTGGTTCGGTTGTTTAGGAAGTCTGCGTCATCTTCCTCCTTACACACGCCCTACATTAAGGATGACGATTACGCCCAGGGCAAAAGAAAAAAAAAAGGTATATCTATTTATTTAGATTTTGAGGTGGATATATCCAAACTATTTTTTATCTTATAGTTCGGTGGACTAACCACGGGAAGCTCGTTCGGTCTTTCTCTCCTTACAACAGGACAATGATAGTTGACGATCGCGCCCTCCTCGACAAAGTCGAGAACATAGAAAAATTAAATTGCAGAGAGATAATAGTCGGATTCTAGGCCTGCCTCGAAAGGCTATAACTACACCTGAGAGGACTATATTATAAAGGATAAATAGATTGCATATTTTTTGCAGACTGGACCAACCACTCTAACTAACTATTGGGTTATTAAAATAATAACTGTGTGTCTGTTGAACCACAAATATACTCAGTAGAGGCCCTATCGTTTCAATAATAGATCCAAAATTTTTTGCATAACTGAGTATATTCAATAGTAGCTTGGAAAAGTCAACCTATCAACACAAAACAATCTAGTGTGAAGAGTGGAAAATCGATAAAAAATGGCTCTAAAAGGATTTATATAACCTAAATTAGCACTAGCTCCACTATTATTATGCGGTTATATATATCAATATCTAGTTTTGGGCTGTGTATAAATTTGTTGTAGAGCGTATTATTAATGACAATATGTTTGTTTTCAAGGGGCGGTTTTATCTGATAACAAAAAGCGTTTGATCAACATGCATTACGTTTTTTGGGACTAGATTTCAATGTATTTGGCACTTTAGCTATTTACAAATTTAAAATAAGCATATATACTGGGCCGTGATTATTTGAGAGGCAGGTTTGTTTTCAAAAATACTTGTAAAATATATATGTGCGCTTTTTTAATGCAACTACGTTCTATCAACTGCTTTTTTCACCCGAATTTGGAACAGAACTTTGTACTGGACCCTTTTATTATAAATTATAGCTTATTTTTATTAGTTCAGTATATACTGTAATAATTCGACATAAAGTAGTATGCAATATAAATGACTCGGCATTGCAATAATTAAACACGAGTCAACTAATATTTTTTATTTGGCATCTAACGTAGTACGATAATTTCTACAGTACAAATAATTAAATTCTTTACTAAATTCGGCACCACAATTATTGGACACAGCAAATCTATTAACTTACTATATTTTACAGGCTAAACCACCCCCCTGTTGAAAATAATTATCGGCTATGTGGATATTTCAATGGTGTATTTTATAGCGTAACAATGCAGAATAGTCGTCACAAAAAAAATAAGGTCTGTAGTGATGCTGAGATAACCGTTAGAGTATCCACATAATCCGACAGGTGGGTGGTTTGGCCCGTAAAATACGGTATTGAAAGTAATAATTTTACACGCTACATATATATTTAACACTTCCTTATTTAACAAAACATGTTAATCAAACATCTAGCATCACATTTTTTTACCAATTTATTTCCATGCTAGAAAAAATAAGTACGTATTATGTCATATTATATGATTTAACGGTCCTGCAGGTCCGCTTTTATTTTGGCCCTCTTTTTTTCGAGCCTGCAAGAAAAAAGAAATCTGATAATCCATTCCCGCCTTCTCGCGATTTCATCGCTCGAAGCCAGATATATTGGTAATCCGAATATATCTTTTTTTTGAATTTATGAGAAAAAAGGGGTCGAAGCTAAAATAGCGATAAAAACTTAATAATTAATGGCCTGCATTAAACTTTATACGGTGTTACCTTAATTTCTCACGGTTGATTTTTGATTAACAGTTAATAACTATGCACTCTAGAACTTTTTCCTTACCATATATAAGATCCCGCAATAAGAATGAGACTTAAAAAGGCTATAAGAGCAATAAGTATAATGTTCTTTATCAGTAGTTTTATCAAAATTCATATGTTACAGGGACTTTGAATTTTGCCATCTCCGAGATCGTTGAGATCGTTAACTTTTTTATATCACAAGAAAGATCGTTGAATATAAGGGGTCTAATTTCACCAGAAAAATATCAAAATAGATTTAGTGTTTGGAACTTATGACCAAGCGAAGTTGCTTTATAAAAAAAAAAACTGGCATTAGATTTGGGTAACGTAATTACTAATTGTGTACTTTTTTTCTGGCAGGTTTTTAGATCTAGTTGTTGAATGGTAATGTTTGGTGCCGTAATTCAAAATGCAATTTGTTGTAATGCAGTAATTATTTACTACAAAAGTAGTAATTGTAATAATAATTACAACATGTCATAATTATTACTATGGTAGTAATGGGCCTTTCTAATGGTTAGTTACAAGATATTTATGTTAATAACTTACTATTAAATTGCTTTAAATAGTAATGCTCCAAATTGGCATAATCAACATTAGAAAGGCCTAATAATTACTACGTTTAATAATTATTACTACATACTGTAGTAATTATTTCCTCTTTTAAAATACAAAATTCCCATTATGGCAATTACTCAGAGAGGAAGTCACGCTTCCATCTCTAATAAAAATAACTTTAAAAAAACAACACGAATTAAAGAATACTTAGTATATTTTTATTAACGACTAACCAGAAATAGAAAATTATGCCTCGTGACTTGTCTCTTAATGGGGAACTTGTATTTTAAAAAGACCATTATAAATAAATATAATGTATCGATATTGTATATAAATATACAAAAATAGCAATTGTAATAACATATATTACAAGTATAATTCCTTGGGAGGATTAATTAATAATACCCTGACTATATGTGAATAAGCGGAAACTTTGTCTCTGCTAATTCCCAACGGATTAGGATATTTATTATTACTAATATTACCAGGTATGCGAAATTCTTGTGACTAATACAAGATACAGATTATATATGAAAAGTACTTGAACTCTGGTTCATAAAGGCAATTATTAGATGTATCGGTTAGATCAGTGGAATTCCATGCATGTAGAGTTTATTTAATATGTTCATTATTTTACTGTATTTATAATACATGCATAGTAAAATATAATAAAAAAAGTTATATACCAATACAATATAAATAGAATAAGAGGATTAGTAAGTTAATGTGTTCTTTTCCCTATATGCGAAAGTTAATATGAAATAAATACAACCTCGTTGCATAGCCGTAGGTTGTAAGTAAAGGTGTCGTAGATAAAATAAGGATGTCATTAGGTGTAAGCAGTAAGAGGAAAGACAGAGTAAGGTTTTATGTGATACTGCGTGGTTATTGTAAAATAGTATTGAAATGTACAGAGGGAATGTTGATAGAATATATAATACAGAAGAATTAGAGTTTAAAGGGACGAATATAGAGAGGTTTGAATACATGCATTATTGAATTAGTGGCTAAAGATGTGATGCACCACCTCTAGTAAAGATTATGATGACTCAGACAAAATGCTCTATGAAAATTGGACAGATTAAGTAATATGTGCTTATAGAAACTGTGGGAGGTGTATTTATAAAGGGCACTTATAATGAGTTAATTTATTAGTATTATTTATTTCATCAATATATAGCATAATTTTGTATAAAAATAATATTATTTTATTATATAATTAGTACAAAAAAATCATATAAAAGCATATGTAATAAATATAATTGTACTAACTAGATAATTATGCCATCATATTTTAATGTAGTATCAATTGCTTCCTCATTCTCTAAGCCAGGTCAAATTGAACACTGTAGTATGTATAATCGCTACAATTCCAATAACAATAATTTTACCTTTTTCAAAATCGGTTAATTGAAGATCGATAAATAAATTTATGTTACCTTTTTGTATATTTTTTTGAAGTATCACAATACTTTGTTTTTATTTTTCTGCAGTTTTTACTGACCAATCTAATCAGAATATGTGGCGTGCCTGCAGCCAATGCAGAAAATTTGAAACTTGGTAATATGTAATGGAACTAACAGGAGGGAACTTACCCAAATGAATCCCACACGTGGTGTGATCAATTAAAACTAAAATTATTTATATTAGTTTTAATTGATCACACCATGTGTGGAGTTCACTTTGGATTGGGTATGTTCCTCTTGTTAGTTCCATTAAAATGGAACTCTGGTAAGTTTCAAGAATATATCAGTTAGATCAGTAGAGTTCATGCATGCGGAGTTTATTTGTTTATTTAATAAGCGCATGCTCATAATTAAACATTTGTAGTAAAAAAATAAGTATAAAATATATTGCAATAGTGATACGTAGTAAAAAGTTACATATAAATATAAAATATAGAATTAGTAAGCTAATAAATTATCCTTGCAAATAATATGAAGTAAATACAAACCTTGTTACATAACCGTAGAGAGGTGTGATTAGAAGGCGGGTTGTGAGTAAGTAAGGGTGTTGCTAGTATAGTGTGGCAAAAAAGAAAATACTGATATTTTATTATTGTTGTAAGACAGCCGAAATGAATTATAACTAAATTTTATGTGGATAAAGGTCAACTTGCTATCTATATAATAGTTTTTTTTTGTTCTAAAAAAATGGATGCGTATAAGGCAATCTTAGATATTGTTAAAGAAGAAATTAGAATAAAAAGGATTATTGAAAATATTGAAATGAATAATACAGATGAAACATTTAAGATCAGTCATCAATATGAAAAGAACAAAGTAAAGCACTTGCCTATTATGAACAATCCACAAAAATGGATAATACAAATAAAATATTTAATGTTATAAAATTGGAAATTGAGAGGCATTTGAACATTATTAAAAACTGAAATGGGAAATTGTAAAGGAATTGAAGCAAAAAAGAACGAGTATAAGGAATTATAGGAATTATAGAACATTAGTGGCTGATAAAAATGAACATAAACATTTAAATATTATCGTTATAAAAATTTGCCAAGATTAGAAATGGAAGTATTCGAATTTATCAAAGATCTGATATAATAAATACTTGTAGTTCATTTAACATTGGATATTGTTGGTGAGAAATATATTAGAGCTAGAAAAAAAGAAAAATAATAGTAAATAAAAGGTATCAATATTTATTATGGAGAAAGAGAACAAAAAATATGAGTACTATGAGTATGAACAATTTTGAAAATTATTACTGTAAAAGAATTAAAATAGAAAAAAATAAACATAGGTATTTAATTATTATCAGAAATCTGATATTAATAGTTTTAATCCAGTATTAATTTTAAATTTCTTATTTCAATGAAAT